GTCATATGATTGTTGGGTTTTTCTCTGTATCTATGAAGCGCCTTGAGGCGACTTTTGTTGTGATTTGGCGCTATATAAATAAAATTGAATTGAATTGAATAGTACTCGGCCTTGTCATACACTGCTTTGAAAGTAACAGTAACAGTATTGCTAGTAGCTGCTTGGTCATTCAGCATTCTAGTCACTTAGCAATCCTACCAGGTATTCCCCCTGTCATTCAAGTACAAGTTACTGAGTTTCATTGAGGTTCTGTGCTCTCTGCTGTTTTTTTTCCTATTTTGAATGATCCTTAACCTCCTAGGCCCTGGCGTCCACATATGTGGACATCACATTTTGGGTTATTTAGACCAAAATACTCAATTTTGCTCTACAAGGGCCTGATGTTCACTTACGAGGACATTATACTGCTACTGTTCTATCAAAACTTTAAACAAATATCCTCATATGTGGCCCTTATTTTTTAAAAACAAAAATAAGGTAAAAAAAAAAAAATCTGGTAATTCTTTGTTTTTACATTCATCGGGCCCCAATATGCCAAAATATCAAAGAGAAATTAAAAATGCATGCTGTGGAAGAGTTCGGGTCCTAGGAGGTTAATAGGCTTAAAAGGTGAGCAGGACAGTGACCCTAAATATCTAAGTAAGAGCACTGAATGACATCACTGACAACCTTCACCAATCGAGGCGATTCAGTTGGAGCCCAAACCCTGTAGAGATCCTCTGGATTGACCTCAGTAGCTGTTTACACTTGATATCCCGAGAATGTGACTGAGCTGAAACAGTTCTCACAAGAATGGGCTAAACTTCCTTTTCGAGGTTTCTGCTTGCCTGATCTGTAGCTGCTGGGAATTTGTTTGTGCTACAGAAAATGTTTGACAGCTCATTAAAGCCGAGCATTCTTTTACTGTCGGCACTGGGAATGTTTAACGAGTGTGTCCAATAAATGCAGGAATGATTAGAATCCCATTGTTGAAGAAATAAAGGTAAAAAGAGACTTGCACAAAACCTGAGAGGAAAAAGGTGATGAATCTCAAATTCAGCTGTTTGTCCTGGCCAGGTCATTCATATACAGCAGTTAGACAGGTGCTGGCTTGAGGTCATGGATAAAAGAAGAAGAAATTAGCTTTTTCTGAATTGTGGCTAGGCTCTGCTTTCCTGATGGGCGGCGATCTTGGTCTTTCAGGAGGGGCTTGGAGTGGAGCTGCTACTCCTCCACGTCAAAAAAGAGTGAGCTAGGATAGGATGGGATGGGATGGGATGGGATGGATGCCTCCAGGCCGAGGTGTTATCCTGCAGGGAGGAGGTCCTAGAACAAACTACAGAGGTTGTAACTCTCAGATGGCCTGTTAATGTCTGAAAGTTGGAGGAAGCAGGTGGAGAAAGGAAGGTCACTGCTCATCCTGCTGCCCCTGCAGACCTGCCCCAGATATTGTCATAGATCGATTGATGATTGATTGATGAATGATTAAAAGTCGATTGCCTTTTGGGTGAAGGGTTAGCATATTTGTTGGTCTGGATAAGTGTAAATGAGATTATTGAAAGTTTTTATGTGCTCCTTTTTTGCCTTTACGTATTCAACATGATGTTTGCTTAGCACCTCACTTTGAATAAAATATGAATAAAAATTGATAGCAATTGTTTGCTACTAGCTAATGCAGACGTTCCCAAAGTGTGGGGCCCGCCCCCTAGGGGGGGCGCAGAGCCATTGCAGGGGGGGCGCGGCATGAAAAGGGGAAAAAAAA